TATAACGTTATGTATACGCTTAAATGAAAGATAGGTATTGGGTATAATTTATGATAAAATTGTTTCAACCTAGTAGGTTTGGACGGATCTGTTCCTTGTGGTACCTTTCAGTGAATATAGTTTTAGCTACATTTAAGAACATTTCATCAGTGTCCTGGAGGGAACACGGGGACAGGGTTCCTTTTCACAAAGCGATCGTAGCTCTACGACTGTCGTAAGTCTATGGTAAACTATAGGAGATACGACAGTCGTAATGTTACAGTCGCTTTGTGAAACAGGGCTTTCGGCTCTATGCATAGTACAAATGTGTAGGGGGCATTGGGGTAGCCTAGTGGTTAAGACGCCCGCTCGTCACGCCGAAGCCCCGATTTCGATTCCACGCGTGGGTACAATGTATGAAGCCCATTTCTGGTGTCTCCCGCCGTGACATTGCTGGTATATTGCTAAAAGCGGCGTAAAATCAAACTCATTCACTCACTCGTATAAATGTGGAACAAGAACCTGGCGCAAAAGCGTGACGAGCGAACACTTTCACCACGCGGCTACCTAACCGCTGATAGTCTGGTTAAACGAAACACGGATACGTCGTAAAGTTCATAGAACCGTATTGATTTAGTTTTACTGTTAACATCGACTCTTATTTATGACTCGAATGATTCATCTGTCTGGATGGGTGTCGAGTGCACTTTAATACCAGTCGATCGAAGGCTAAGGCAATTAAGGGACCCTCATTCAGACGGAGAAATGGCCCTGTAGAGTGTTCGTAGTCGTTGACGTTTGGATTGATTAATCCAGCTTGGTCACCACCGTCGTAGCAACGTACATTTCATCCTCGCAATATCCAGAATATTCTAAATTATTTAATAAGGTACGGAATCACAACAACGGGTTATACCAAAGGTTAGATGATCTTTGCATGCCATTACTTATTGTCTGTTTGGGCGGTGGGGTGGCCTAGTGGCTAATTATTAAGGCGTCCGTTCTTCACGCCGAAGACCCTTGTTAGATTCCCCACATGGGTACAATGTGTGAAGCCCATTTCTGGGCTCCCCCGCCGTGATATTGCTGGAATATTGCTAAAAAGCGGCGTAAACCCATACTCACTCACTGTTTCATGTTTCCCCCTGTCGTTGTACTTCTCGAATATTGCCAAAGCGGTGTAAAGTCATATTCACTCACTCTTGTCAGTTATACACATCATAAGTGAGTGAGTGAGTTTAGTTTTACGCCGCATTCAGCAATATTCCAGCTATATGACGGCGGTCGGTAAATAATCGAGTCTGCACCAGACAATCCAGTGACCAACAGCATGAACATCGATCGACGATTGGGATATGATGACATGTGTCAACCAAGTCAGCAAGCCCGACCACTTAATCCCTTTTAGGAAGTTACTGGAGGATCGGGCAATCTAGGTAAGCACAAAAGCGCACCAAAACTCACAAACACGATATGTAAACAATTAGGGATTTTACTTGAACAATAGGTTATAATGGTGGGTAATACATATACAAAATGTCATCAGGTGTAAAAACAACAGCTAGGAAAGGGCGGGGTAACCCTGAAACTAACCCTGCCCCAAGTATTCGTCACTGACTACCTACATCGTCTGTGATGTTGTGCATGTCACACATCAAAATCATAAAAGCGTGCAAGAAACATTATCTAGTGTTCATTCGTTCGTAATGTTCATAACATTCTCAGAAACATTTCCTTGCTTCTTAAATTATGCAGGTCGACAGGGTCATGTCATACTCACCCTTAAAATAGCAACAGTGCAGGTACAAACCTCTAGTAAATATAGCATTTGAAGCTGGAAAATAAGCAGAATTAGTCAAAATAATGCGGTCCATGGACTGTGAGACAGACTAACCATTTGTCTGAAAATAGGCGGTTGGAAGTTACCATGACACCGCCTAAATGAGGTGAGGTGAGGTGAAATTGGGTTTAACGTCGTGCTTGAGAATATTTCGCTCATATGACGACGTGCATGTGTGTGTATGTGTATGTGCGGCTGTTTGTACTAGCCCAGACTTAAGCTGGTTTTATAGTGCTAGCCCACTGAGATACCATGCCGCAGTGAAGCATGAATATCCCACTCAGACACATTATACTGACTCCGAGCCGACCAGTCCTTGTTGTACCCATTAATGCCGAGCGCCAGGCAGGGACCAACAAGTACCATATTTTAACGTCATTTGGTATGACGCGACCGGGGATCGAACCCGCGACCTTCCGCTCTCCGGGCGGACGCTCTAACCACTACACCACGGAGGCGGTATGTTTAAATGAAGCTAAACAATTTCACGACCTATTCCACTCTGCACGAGATGATATATGTCGTTCACAACTGTTACTTTATCAGCCATTATTCCGACTGAGAAATACTACAACCTATTTTGACGCTCAGCATTAAAATAGAGTGAATGAGTTTAGTTTTACGCCGCACTCAGCAATATTCCAGCTATATGGCGGCGACGTGTAATTAATCGAGTCAGGACCAGACAATCCAGTGATCAACAGCATGCCGAGCATCGATCTATGCAATGGGATATGATGAGCCTGACAATCCGCCTCTTACGCTGAAGTTGCTGAAGATGAATTCTAACCCGATCTTTACAGTTATTAAATTAGTGTTGGTCTATCTCAGTGGTATCAGCGTCGACCCATTATGTCAACCACTTGGGTTCGATTCAACACATTGGATACACGCAGTGCATGGAGCCTTCAAATTTCCTGCACGCAGTGACACAGCTGATAACTCCTCGCACTGCCTTTGCCAAAGTGGGATGGCTAATTGCTCTCCTTTCAGAATTAAGAATCTTTTTCAATTCCCGAAAAAAAATATAATGATGTACGATGAAACGATTTTGGTAGTAATTTCAGTTTTGAAAATTTAATTGTCATATTAATGCATAAGTTGACTGCCAGTATATTCCATCCTGGCAATGTGCCAGGACTCTTTATGGCTGTTTTCTGAGCATTATTAGACGCTTGAACCCAAAGCTAAATTTCCCCCAGCCGAACGACGCTCCGGGGGCGGTAAAGAGTGCTGCCATGCTCTAATTTAAAGTCCAAAGTTTGTGTTTGGACGTAAATCATTTACAGTGTATACTGAGGGGCAAAATAAACTATACCGATTTATGTTTCATGTATTTTAAAATTGAATTAACTTTTGTTAAATTTGATTATGTCTATTGAGTCATCACTCATTGCGGTTGAAAAGAGTAATCTGTGGTTGTGCGTTTTTTTGTGAAAATACATTTGGTCAAGGAAGGCTTCGGCAAGAAATGACTTGTAACCACATAATCCTGACATGCTTGAAATGGTGTACATTTCTGCCAAAACAAAACGAATTTATTGATCTACAATGATAAAATGACCGCGGCAGCAGTTGAGATTTATGTGAACACATACTTTGCAATTCTCAAAAGTTTTAAATCAAATTATATTTTAACAAAATGAAACCACGTACAGTTAGTCCTGACAAATTACCAGTACAATTAATTTTGAACATGTGATGTTGCTAACTTAAGATATTTTCAAATGAAAGTCAACCATTGGATCAAATAAACTTAGAGGTATTGTTCTCGTTGGTACATTTTCATGAGCTGAGGACATTTCTTTATTTCCTATCCGAAGACAATTCTAGAAGTGGGATATGTATTGACTAACATTACCTGCAATGTTAATTTGATTTTAGAATTGTACAGATAGAAATAACAGATGTTATACGACTACATGGCTCAATGTTGTTTCAGGACAATCTCACGGATATATCAGGGCGGTCCAGACAATGTCGTGTCTGTGTCGGGCAAACTAGTCGTTGATAGCATGAGTAACTAACTGCTGTTATGAGTGAGTGAGTTTGGTTTTTACGCCGCTTTTGCAAAATTCCAGCAATATCACCTCGGCACTACTGTTATGGTATATGGACCTTGTGTGGAGTGATGCATATGATCAATTTCTCGATTTCATTTATCGTTGCTTAGATTGTCCAGGAGTGTTCGCTCGTCACGCCGAAGACCCGGGTTTGATTCCCCACATGGATACAATGTACGAAGCCCATTCTGCTGACCCCCGCCGTGATATTGCGGGTATACAGTTAAAATGAGACGTGAAACTAGACTCACTCACTTAGTCAGACTGCCCCTTTAATTCTTCTGCCCCCCCCCCCCACACACACACACACATGCCAAGTTTCTAAAATTTAATGCTCTGGGTCCCGTTGTACAAAACAACCTTACCGCTAAGGTAGGTTACCTTATGTCCTTAAGTTTTAACCTTAGGCCTTGACGTCCCGATGCACGAGTCTACCTTTCCTGGTGTAATAAGAAAGACTATTGTCCTTTTACACTCCAAGCAAAAACAGATCGGTTTGCTTTTTCTTCATCTACAAATTGAAGCGTCTCGATCTACTTTACAAAATAAGTTAAAGACAATTGAGAGTAGTCTTGATTTTTAAAATGTATGAAAATTTTTTTTATATTAAATAAGTGTTTTTATTGTATTTTTCTTCCCCACCCGCTCTTTTGCTGGTCGAGGTTGTCGATGAGGAACACATAAAGAATTTGACTAAACACATGAACACATCTAGGTAGATTTACAGTGCATGGTTGAATTCAATTAAATCTAAAAAGCAGAAATGAATAACGTAAATACTATTCATTTGCATATATGTAAATTATTGCGTATGCTAAAAATACATACGCTCGCTTACTGGCAAATTGCACAGTTTTGTACATTACTGAAATATATATTATCAAAACAAGAGTTTTAACGCCAGCCGATTTTTCTCACTTTTTCCGAGTTATAGTAGAAGATGAAGAGACCATTAACGACACATTACAGTTAGCAATGAACATATTTATCAGTCTGAATCTGAGGTCAAAGTCTGCGTCCCCGATCAGCTGACATTTAAGATTCGGGACGGATATATTTTACTGCCGCTTCGATTAACTTTAAACATGCGCACTCGGTTTGACACAGTGCCCCGGAAGTAATGTTCAGACATGGCGGCTGTTGACAGTTTTCAGTTGTTACTGAAGGAGATATTTAAAACTTGCTCTCATTTAAGAGATGCGTTTGCAATTCTGGGCGCCTTGTATACGGCACGGAAAGCCATACGACTCACACGATGTCTGCTCAGCGTCGTGAACGACCACGTGCTCAGTCAGCTCGGAGGACAGTGGGACCTTCGGAAGGAGTTCGGACCTTGGGCAGGTGAATTTCTGAGTGCAACGAATCGCGTTTAGATATTTTATATTAATACATATTTGTGTGTAGACAGATTGGATTAATGTAATTCCGTGACATAATTTGTGACACTGTGTGAATGTAGGGTAACCTTTTGTGGGTTTCTTGGAGATAAGAATGATCAAAAGCCACGAGTTGTTCCCCTTTGACCATAAGCAGAAGATAAGCACTAAATTTAGGCAGGCCTAAATATTTCATCAGTTTTCAGTTGACTTTGATGTGAAAGGTCTTACAGAAATTGTAGTTCTAATTATAATTAAATTATATGTTTAGACATAAGTAACCTGCTTCAGGAAGGAAGTCTAGTTAAGTCATGATTTTAATCAATTTTAAAGATGAAAATAATTCTTTTAGGTTATCGAAGATGACCAAATTTTCGAGAAAATTTTCTTCTTCAGATGATATGAACATGAACCTGAAGCTATGCAGAAATGTACCCCTGCCAAAATCAGAATACAGAAAAGTACCCTAGTACAAGACCATTTGCTTTATGGAAACTGACTTTCTATTGTATGAGATGCATTTGATTGCTTTATATAAGAAACGAGCATACACAATAACGAATATTTGCGGTGAGGTAGCCTAGTGGTTAAAGCATTTGCCCAGGAGACCCAGGTTTGATTCTAAACATGGTTACAATGTGTGAAGCCCATTTCTGATGACCCCCGCCGTGATATAGCTGGTATATTGCTAAAAGCGGTGTAAAACCATACTCACTGTCTGATGGGTGCTCTTATTTCAAATCCATGACAACTCCCTGACACATTTCATCCATGTTTGTTTCAGTGGTGACGGGTAGCAGTGAAGGAATTGGACGTGCTTATGCTCAGGAACTGGCCAGTCGGGGCCTCAACATTGTCCTCATCAGCAGGGGCGAGAAGAGACTAGAGAAGGCCGCGACAGAAATAGGTAAGACTATCGGGGACCCACCCTTGGTGTAGAGGTAAAGGGTGAAGGGGTGGGTGAGAGACCCCACCATTCGTGACCAATCGTGTTATTCCGGTACAAGCCGAATAGTGACTCATGCCCCTCTGGAAGGATTTCATATTGGCGTATGAACATCAAAACTACTTTAAATAGGAATGATAACTCTATTCCTGTTTGATTCCGATGGTACGTAATATCACCGAAGTACTCATACATTGTATTGCTATTTTTGTTTTTGCTTATTCATTTTAAAGAATTAAACCTCCTTGATACAACTAAAAGAAGGAGAAAAACCTATTTGTTAAAGACATATTCTGACGAAAAATTATTACCAGATGTTCACCTTATATTTCCAATTATATTTCTGAAAAGGGTTTAATAATCACATGTGGGATTTGTTGTATTGAATATGCAAATAAAATTTATAAAAATACACTGCTACATTAAGTCCTAAAGCAGAAATTCAAAAATGACTTTAAAATATTTCTCAAACTGAACATACATATAACCTTGCTATCATACCCCAAGTAGAATTTTAATTGAATTCGCTGAAAAATATATGAGTGACCCCCCCAAAAAGTCAAACTAAAATATTCCCAAAGATGTGAAATATATGCCCAATGTTAAAGATTAAAGTTGATTAGTTACATACAGATATAATATTATTGTTTTGAAACTGGTAGCGATGTATAATTACATTTCCTGAAACTGTTGGAAGCGCACATACAATCATCACAACAAGCCCGCAAGATCATCAGACTGACTGACTGAGTTTGGTTTTACTCCGCTGTTAGCAATATTCCAGCAATATCACGACGGGGGACACCAGAAATGGGCTTCAAGATCGTCAGAAATACACTCATTTGGACCAGTGGAGCCGTTATGTCAACAAACGCACGTTCGTGTATTTGAATCTCTCACCGTCAATCGCTTGATTCTTATCTAAAACTTCACATTAGACAGCACAATTCTGTTAGCTACATTCTTAGTACCTTCAATATGACGATAGATATTTTTCATGATTTTTTAAGCAATTTTATAACAAAATGCCATAACAATTTAAGTAATTGGGATTATTTTTATCAAAGCACCGCAACAATTACGTGCGTTCTGATTGGTTTGTCGTATTTTCGCACATAACAAGCATCGAGACAGGGACAAATCTTTTTGGAGGTTACGGAAAGGGCCGAGTGGTGACGAATGAGACCCCACTGGACTAATCTCCAGTTGTATCTGTCGTAAGACATCTTCCTGAGACAAGGGAGGTAACAGTAACTGACAGTGAAAATCCAGTGTCCACCTTTGATGAGCTAGGCTGTAATTTTGTGCTGTCAGTGGCTGTTATGAGTTATGTCCCTTCTATGTAGCTCTAAATGACCAGTCATATTGCTTGCATTTGCTTCAAATGAAATGGCAGAGCCCAGTCAAGATGAGAGTTATTGAAAATTAATGGCTCTTACCTTTTGAAGTTCATCATGTCCTCTGAAAATCTTGATTAAAGACGTAAAAAGATATGGAAAATCACTGTCATTGCCCAGTTCAATGTACACCTGCTCTGCAATCAACCAAAATCACCATGGCAGTTGCCTTGTTGGGTATAACCTTGATGTTCGATTTGTACACAATTTTGTTTGGACTTTGCTAACACTCATTAGTCAAGCTAAATTGTAACTCCATTATCATAGCATAAGATATAAATATAGTAACAGGAATAAGGAATTTTTAAGTTCCCATTGACTTGTGAATATTGGTTTGTCAGTGCTATTCTCCTCTGTCATGGCTTGGTAGTGGAGGTGTACAACCTGTATCACTATGGCCTGAACCCGTGAAGATCCGGGTTGGAACTGATCTTCAGCAACCCATGCTTGTTGTAAGAGGCGACTGACTTGGTCAGGCTCGCAGACTTGGTTGACACATGTCATCATATCCCAATTGCCTAGGTTGATGCTTATGCTGTTGATCACTGGATTTTCTGGTTCAGACTTGATTATTTGCAGACTGCCGCCATATAGCTGGAATATTGCTAAGTGCGGCGTTAAACAACAAACCAAACAACCACCAAGGCCTGATGATTTATGAGATCCATGATATAACTTATCACTGTCGCATTAAGACCGCCTCCGTGGTGTAGTGGTTAGAGCGTCCGCCCAGAGAGCGGAAGGTCGCAAGTTCGATCCCCGACCGCTTCATACCAAAAGACGTTAAAATATGGTACTTGTTGGTCCCTGCCTGGCGCTCGGCATTAATGGGTACAACAAGGACTGGTCGGCTCAGAGTCAGTATAATGTGTCTGAGTGGGGTATTCATGCTTCACTGCGGCATGGTATCTCAGTGGGCTAGCACTATAAAACCAGCTTCAGTCTGGGCTAGTACAAGCAGCCGCACATACACATACATACGCATGCACGTCGTCATATGAGCGAAATATTCTCAAGCACGACATTAAACCCAATTTCACCTCACCTCACTGTGGCATTAATCCCGGCTTACTCTTGTTCCAGGGGAGCAGTTTCAAGTGGAGACCTGCTACATCGCCGTGGACTTCAACAATACCACGGACACATATAAGAAAATTGAAGAAGGAATTAAAGATAAAAATATCGGAATATTAGGTCAGGTTTGATTGTCAAAATATCAATGAAACATTTATTAACATGTACATTTAATGTGTGATTCTTTGCCAACGTCACTGCCATGTGAAGTGCTGACTAGCTCCCTAGTGTGATCTCTAGGATGTCTGAGGTAACATTGTCTCCTCATGTAAAACATGCTTGTCAAAGAGAGTAACATTGTCTCATGTAGTGGAGGCCAATAGTAAACTGTACTGTATCGAGTGAGTTGTCTCTTCTGTTGAAGTCCATCAGCCAAAGTGAAGTAATATTATCTCATCTACTACAAAACTCGGGCGGTGGGGTAGCCTTGTGGTTAAAGCGTTTGATCGTCACGCCGAAGACCCGGGTTCGATTCCCCACATGGGTACAATGTGTGAAGCCCATTTATGGTGTCCCCGCTGTGATATTGCTGGAATATTGCTAAAAGCAGCGTAAAACTAAACTCACTCACTCACTACAAAACTCCCATTTCATATCTTAGAATATAATATTTTGCTGTTTATTAAAATTATTTGAAATGGTTAGCAGTATTTTTTTTACTTCTATTTAGCTGAGCACATATATTCCTGAATATAAAAAAAATGTGAAATACCTGAATTTGTCCAATTACCATGATAGTTACCTAAGGGCATACTTTAGTCAGTCATCACGATATGGCTGAGATATTGCCGATGTGACGGTAAATATTAACTCACTCGCTATATTCAGAATATTTTTCTTTTCAGTAAATAATGTGGGTGTAATGTACGACTTTCCTCAATACTTCCTTGACGTTCCTCGTGAAGTAAGTACGACGGGTTAAGGTGTACAAACAGTTTGTGTATGATAGTGTGACTCTCAAGACAAAACCTTGACAAAACTGAACACAATCTCTTGGTGTCAGTGAAGATTTGGGGATGAATGACTGGGGTTGAGTTTTGTTATGGAACCATCGATAAGTAACCTCTCAAAATAGTTTGGCAGTGGGTAGGTGAAAGATCACGTATATATGACAAATGTTGGAAGTGTGTATTGTCCTTTTGATTTCATTTGAGACAGACGAATTGCTCACTCACACAAAATCTAAGAATTGCAGCAAAACCAAATTTTGCGCAGTGACATGAAATCGATAGACCAAGCAGAGGTTTCCGAAGATCAATTCTAACGTGTACCTTCATGGGTCCAGAGGTGGTTAATGTGATTTGAAATGTCTGATATTGCAATTGTTATATAAGCCTATTGCTCTTCCTGCTAGTATTGTTGTCAGATAGTCTTCATTCTGTGTCCAGCAACCAGTGTATAAATATTGTATCGTTCCAGCGCCTGTGGCAGCTAATTAACGTCAATGTGGCAGCAGCAACTATGGTAAGTGTTCTATACCTCCACTGTGTGGTGGGGAAACAAGATGGTGCATACAAGAACTTTGTATTTCTTTTCACATCGGTCTGAGATAAATTGATGGAGTTCGAAAACAAAAACCATGTTACGATTCTTTTCAGAGTTAAGGCCCTTGTCATGCGATTCTTGACTTAGTGCACGGTATCCCCAATGGGACCAGATTTTCTCATTATCGATAGGGAAACCAAATGTGGTAATGTTTTCAGGACATAAATGTTGTGGTAGCGTTTAAATAATAGGTGAGGTGAGGTGAGGTGAAAGTGGGTTTAACTTCGTGCTTGAGAATATTTTGCTCATATGACGACGTGCATGCGTGTGTATGTGTATGTGCGGCCGCTTGTACTAGCCCAGACTGAAGCTGGTTTTATAGTGCTAGCCCACTGAGATACCATGCCGCAGTGAAGCATGAATACCCCACTCAGACACATTATACTGACTGAGCCGACCAGTCCTTGTTGTACCCATAAATGCCGAGCGCCAGGCAGGGACCAACAAGTACCATATTTAAACGTGTTTTGGTATGACGCGGTCGGGGATCGAACCAGCGACCTTCCGCTCCCCGGGCGGATGCTCTAACCACTACACCATGGAGGCGGTCTTAAAAAATAGGAACTTAATAGGAACAGAACACTGTGGCGCGAGATGACCATGTCTTTTTGTTGTTATTACTAATATCTTCTACTTGTTCATATTTCAGATGACGCACATGATTCTTCCTCAAATGGTACAAAGGTATGTCAGGATGGAAAGAAGTTGTATCAACAAAAGCTGCAGACTTTAACTCAGAAAGAAAACCAAACAGTACGCTTCTGAACAGCTTGAAGCTATCCATGTCTGTTTCGACATTTAGATCATTGTAGAATAATCTGTGGTGCCAATCCATATATCTGGATACATCATCAAGATAATTATTTCTATATAGTTCATATGATCGTAGGCTCAAAGTGTCTTTGTTGTGGAGGGTCACTGGTGGCCCAGTGGTACAGGTTTGTGTGATTTAGGTGTGCCAGGAACACAAGTTCCGCAGTTTGAATCCTTGATTGACCCGTTTGTGATTCTGTTTTGTGAGCAGGATACACATTCTTATGGATTTTACCAAAGTGTACTTGTCTCAGGCAGGTTTTCTAAAAAAACTTCAGACCCTGTTGTTGCCACATAGAGCAGCCTTGCTGCAATAGTTCCATGACACATATACTGTTCAAAGAATTAAACTCACTCACTCATTCTTAATGTCATTGTTTACCGGGATACAGTCTTAGTAAACATAGCCTCAGTATTATTGGTTACACTGCTATATACTGAGTCTAATTAAAACCATTCTTACGATTCAATCAAACACACTGCTAAGATGACAAAACCTTGAACGGATTTAACCAATCAGACAGAACGGCTGCTAGTTATGGTTCGGGTTATTTGGGACTTACAAAATGGATTTACTCTTCCCCAGTTGCCAACACTGATCTCACAACAAATGAAAACCCCCATAAAACAGAGATATATGACCTGCAGAATATACGCTTTTGGGTTTCTGTTGACATGGTTATCATTAGCTAATATTTCCGCAAGCTGACATCCTTGAATGCTGACAAAATGCTATTTTCAGCGACTGTGTACTCACGGTTGTGGCGTGCTCCATGTGCATCACTCAGAAACGATCATACGGAAAATAGCATTCAGAATCATTTGGGTACAAAACTTTTTCGAGGTAAAAGTTCAAAAGGTATGTGCGAATGTCAACTTTCGCTATTTGGTAAGCTGTGTTCTGATTGGTCAATTGAAAAGGTTACCTGACGCGACCTTCCACAAGGTTTTGTTAGACTCAGTATAGCAGTGTAACGAATAATACTGAGGCTAAGTTTACTTAGACTGTGTTTACCGGTAGATATTGTTTTCTGTTCCAGACGGAAAGGTGCTGTTGTCATGGTATCATCTGGTGCCTGCTCACAGATCACTCCTCAGATGACAGTGTATGCTGCTACCAAGGTAGGGAGCATTTTCCTGTACAAAGCTGTCTCTTAGACATGACAGAGTGGTCCCTAAGCCTTGACAGAATTGTGTCCCTTAGCCATGACAGAGTTGGGTCACTTAGCCATGACAGAATTGGACCGCCTCCGTGGTGTAGCCATAACAGAGTGGTGTCCCTAGTGACAGTTAGAGCGTCCCCAGAGCGCGGAAGGTCGTGGGTTCGATCCCCGACCGCGTCATACCAAAAGACGTTAAAATATGGTACTTGTTGATCCCTGCCTGGCGTTCGGCAATATTGGGTACAACAAGGACTGGTCGGCTCGGAGTCAGTATAATATGTCTGAGTGGGGTATTCATGCTTCACTGCGGCATGGTATCTCAGTGGGCTAGCACTATAAAACCAGCTTAAGTCTGGGCTAGTACAAGCAGCTGCACATACACATACACACGCAAGCCCGACCTTAAACCCAATGCCACCACCACCACCATGACAGAATTGTGTCCCTTACCCATGACAGAGTGGTGTCACTTAGCCATGACAGAATTGTGTCCCTTAGCCATGATAGAATTGTGTCCCTTAGCCATGACAGAGTTGTGTCCCTTAGCCATGTCAGAGTTGTGTCCCTTAGACATGACAGAGTTGTGTCCCTTAGCCATGACAGAGTTGTGTCCCTTAGACATGACAGAGTTGTGTCCCTTAGCCATGACAGAGTTGTGTCCTTTAGCCATGACAGAGTTGTGTCCCTTAGCCATGACAGAGTTGTGTCCCTTAGCCATGACAGAGTTGTGTCCCTTAGCCATGACACAGTTGTGCCCCTTAGACATGACAGAGTTGTGTCCCTTAGCCGTGACACAGTTGTGTTCCTTAGCCACGTCAGAGCTGTTGAACCTGTTTGGATTCCAAGTTTCAATAACCTCGTGACAGTAATACGATCCATTGAGAAGTACATGAAGTCTATTCAACCATAATCCCATCGATCACTCAGATAGAAATGCAACTGATGGGATATTATTGTAATCGTCGCATGTGGAATATACTTCTGGCCTGTGAGGTCTTGTACAATGTGGTGTTTAATTCATGATGTCATACACACATAGCACTGTAACACCTTGCTGTTTCAGAGTTTTCTCGACTATTTTGCTCGATCTCTAAACTATGAGTACAAAGACAAAGGCATCATCGTTCAGTCCCTGATGCCATTTTATGTTGCGACGAGAATGACACGTTACAGCGAGACTTTGTCCAACACCAACCTCTTTATTCCCACGGCGTCCGTGTATGCACGTAACGCCATCAAGACCTTGGGATACACGGCACGGACATCAGGCTACTTGCCGCATGCCTTTCAGGTACCTGTCACTCAGAATCATCATCATGAACAACTTGTACACTTGTACATGTATCTGACATAATAATAGCTTTTTCTTGTGTCATTGATTTTACAACCAGATATTTTAAGATGGAAATGAATTCTAAAACCATATACAGGACTTTGTAAGAGGTGTTTGCATGTAAATTATATGTATACATATGTATGCATGACACAAATAAATGTTTCCACCATCTCAAACTCAATTACATCATCAAATCTGAAAGCACATAGACGGTTTGAAGCATCTGACTTTTGACGTCAGTTTCGAATCTAAATTTCAGAGCATCAAATTCTCTTGAAAACCTCAAAACTGAAATCTAATGCTATTGTTTGGAACCTTCTAATGGAAGTTCTAGCTGAAATTTCGGGGCAGCAATTTCTCGGTGATAACCTCAAATCTAACCACACATGATTGTGACATTTGTAACTTCTGGGACCTGTGAAGACCCGGGTTAGAATTGGTCTTCAGAAACCCATGCTTGTCATAAGAGACGACTAATGGGATTGGATTTTGTTGACTCATGTCATCGTATCCCAATTGCATAGATTGATGCTTATGCTGATGATCACTGGATTGTCTGGTCCAGACTCGAATATTTACAGACTGCCGCCATATAGCTGGAATATTGCTGAGTGTGGTGTATAGCAAGCAACCAACCAACCAATTGTAACTTCTGATAATGGTATCAGTTCCCCAATGACATGTCAGGACTGACTGACTGAGTTTGGTTTTACGCCGCTTTTAGCAATATTCCAGCAACATCACGACGGGGGACACCAGAAATGGGCTTCACACATTGTGCCCATGTGGGGATTCGAACCCGGGTCTTCTGCGTGACGAGCCAACGCTTTAACCATTTGGCTACCCAACCGCCCCCATGTCAGGACATCAAATTGTCCTTTATAACCTGAAAACACATAATGTTTCTCATCTTACTGTTTCTGTTCCAGTCCTGGCTGTGCAACCTCATCCCAGAGTGGCAATGGATGTGGGGTGCATCCCGTCTCAACACTGCACTTCGAGAACAAGCTCTTCGCCGCGGCCCCCTGCACTTACATGAGAGTCCTAGTGACCAATCGCTGGACAGCAGCACTCCAACATGATGTCACTCCTTGACAAGGTCAAGGTCGAATGTCAGTGCCAGATGGAGCTGCTGCAAACTTTTGTGTCTAGGTCGTGATGATGAATGAATGAACAAATGAAGTATATTTGAATAACAATTGGTTTCCTGCTTTGGTTTGTTTTCTTGAGATGTTTTATTGTGTGATATCGGTTATTGATATCAGTGGCAATGACTTATTTTACTGTAAACCCCTATATGTTTCACTGTCAGTATAACTCCAGTGAGTTTCAATCCAAGAATTGCTCATAATCCTTGGTCAGTGCATACACAATGACGATTGTTGGTCTCAGGTTCCAGTAAAGTGGAGAGTATCTATGACCCCCTCTATTTTGGGAGGTACTTCCACATGGTAGTTCTACCCCATCTCCCCACACCTACGCCTCTCAGCATGTGAAGATTTGGTTTAGAATTGGTCTTCAGCAACCCATGTTTGTTACGGGAGGGGACTAGTACAATCGCATGGTCAGGCTCGTATTCACCCAAATCGTACCATCGTACCCAATTTTCACAGATACATGTTTATGATGTCAATCATTGTATTGTTCCAGACTCAATTATTTACAGACCACCATCATACAGCATTATAGGTGGAATATTGCTGAGTGTGGCATAAAACCACAAACAACAAAAAACAAAACCACTCACTCACTCACTCACTCACTCACTCACTCACTCACTCACTCACTCACTCACTCACTCACTCACTCCACTCCACTCCACTCACTCACTCACTCACTCACCTACTACTGTCTTGTCTCCCAGTGGAATGAGTCGTTGTGCTTGCCAAGAGATCATAAATTGTTACAGGCTCACTTGTGTACCACCTTCCGCCATATATGCATCCAACAGCAAAACATATCAGGATATTACATGTTCAGGAAGCATAGCCTGGTACTGACACCGCGTAGCTACCATTACAACAAAAAAAACTGGCTTACACATGATTGTTGTTAAGAAGGTTGGGCAAACCCTCAATACTGTCTAATTAAGAAGCTTTGCAACCTATCGGGCTTACACGAAAAAGATTGGCTTGCTGCGCACCTGCGTGTCAGCCATGATTGTTTGATGCCACTGAACTAGTGGCAGGGAAAAACATAACTGCACAGAAGTTGGTGAATTTTGAAACATTCAAAATTGTCAGAAAATGGCACAACCTCTGTCTGTGTGTATCATCTGAGGATAAAACTTGACCTTGAAATTAGATTTTAGGGTGATGTTGGGAATAAACTTTCTTTTACAGATGAAAAATATTGTGGTTCTGTAATGTTATGGGTATAACTTGCATGTTGTATTTTTCCTAGACACTGGATGTGACATATGTTGGAAAGGAATTTATTATATGGGTAGGGAAAGACGTTTTATTTATACTTTATGAATTGGTTAACTTTTGAATACAGCATTTATGCATTGTTTATTTTTAAAACATTATTAGATCATTATCAACATTGTTCCTGTTTTTCAGATAAAGACTCTTATGACATTCAAATGCATTTTTTGTAACATATCAGAATATATCAGATGTCACTGTTTTCAGTCTTTATTCTGGCTTTAATGTTTTTCAAGGTCTGATGGAGCAGTGGGGTTCCCTAATGGTTAGAGCGTCTGCTTCTCACGCTGAAGACCCGGGTTCGATTCCCCACATGGGTACAATGCGTGAAGCTCATTTCTGGTGTTCCCTGGCGTGATATTACTGGAATATTGCTAACAGCATGGTATAACCATCCTCACTTCAGTGAGTGATGTAAATTGTAAATTGAGTTGTGTCCCTTGCACTGTTAAAGCCTGCATGTTATCCACTCGGTGCTTAGCACATTTTGTCCATCAGATTCATGCCTGAGTTCAAATCTCACTTCAGATGTATAGAACTGGTGCACATCATCACCCTGTTTCACAAAGTGATCATAAAGCTATGACTGTTATATTTATTTGTTTGTTGTTTAATGCTGCACTTAGCAATATTACAGCTATATAATGGCGGTCTGTAAATAATCGATAATGGACCAGACAATCCGGTGATTGACATCATGAACATCGATCTACACAATTGGGATACGATGTATGACTGTCATATTTGTTTTTGTTTCTTGTTTAGCGCTGTACTCAGCAATAGTCCAGCTATATGGCAGCAGTTTGTAAATGATTGATCTGGACCAGACAATCCAGTGACTGACATCATGATCATCGATCTACACAATTGGGATATGATGTAAAACTGATGTAAGTCTGATATATATTAACATAGCCTTACAACAGTCATAGCTTTATGATTGCTCAGTGAAGTGGGGTCCTGGCTGAATAATGTTATCATTATAGGTAGTTCATATCAGAGTGAATAATTCATTAAATTATGAAGTACATTGTAGATATAATGGCATGGAACAAACTGCCTGAATGTTTGAAAAACTGTTCAAATCTATGTGACTTCAAACGAAGTCTCAAAACTCATCTCTTTAGACTGTCATATCCAGATAACTAGTTTCATCTCAAGTGACTATGATTTTAATTCTGTACCCTTTGAGCATTTATTGTGAATGGAAATAGCGCGGTACAAATGAACTATAATAATAATATTAATATATCTAAAAATATATCATTAATACTTCACTAATGTTGATATATTATAAGAACTACTTCTAGTCTGATTCTGTGACACTTGTCTGGAGAGAAACATTGAGATAAAGTCTGGTTTTTTTACAAGAAAACCAAATATTGTGTATATTTATGAACAACCAGTGTACAATATCAGCTGTCTTAGTTGTTTGAAATGTGTTTGATTTGTGATCACAAAGAGCTGATACACAGGAAGATCATATATTGGAATGTTCTCTTTGTTATTAATGATGGAGGCATTTTTTTGTCCACAAAGGCCAGACTTTTTAAAGACTCAGTTTTTACTTTACTGACTAAAAAAAATGAAATGTGAATAAACAATTTAACAATCATTACAGTGTTGTTTTTACTCTACAACCAAAATTAAGTTCAATGTTAAAAAGAACTGAACTTCACCAATTCAACCAAGATGTTTGCTGTTATGTCTTCCCCTGTTCCTTTGGGATCCTAAATTTTTATTTTCTACCTTCACAACATTTTGAGAATTTAAAAAAAATTAAATTAAAATTGATATTTCTTAAAATATAAACTTGAAGTTTGTGGCGCGCACACGCACACACACACACACACAAATATCTTGCCTCAGGATGCATTAGTAAGGTTATTTCAATAGCTTTTATTTTCATTGTTGATTGCCTAGCATGAGGCCAGTTATACAAGTGAACATGGCATGTGGTAGGAAGAAGTAATACTGCAGTTTGATCCATGCTGCCACAACACTCCATAACAATTATAGCTGTTGTTCTCTATCGTTTGAAGTGCTAGACACCTGACTGTTTTAACAATATGTATCCTGCTGACACCTGATGACAGGGCTCGACATTTTACAATACTTAATTGAACTTTTATAATTTTGATAAGTCTCCTTCCTTCCACAAATAGACAGACTATGTAACACATGTCAAATGTTTGTGCTAGTTCGATTCTCAGTGTATGAGATGATGAATATCGTGTGATAGATGTTGTGAAATGTTAACAAGGCACGCAGCCTATGTTGTATTACGACAAATGTTGTGAGGTGAGGTGAAATTGGGTTTAACGTCGTACTTGAGAATATTTTGCTCATATGACGAAGTGCATGCGTGTGTATGTGTATGTGCGGCTGTTTGTACTAGCCCAGACTGAAGCTGGTTCTATAGTGCTAGCCCACTGAGATACCATGCCCCAGTGAAGCATGAATACCCCACTCGGATACATTATACTGACTCCGAGCCGACCAGTCCTTGTTGTACCTATTAATCCCGAGCGCGAGGCAGGGAGCAACAAGTACCATATTTTAACGTCTTTTGGTTTGACGCGGTCGGGGATCGAACCCGCGACCTTCCGCACTCCGGGCGGACGCTCTAACCACTACGCCACGGAGGCGGTCATGACACATGTTGAAAGCTATGTTGTTTAATATGATGTTGCACCACAAGTGAACAACTGCAGTATGGAAACCAGCGTATTGGTTTGTAAGGTTGGTGGGTTGTGCTTGGAAAACACTCTGCAATTCGATTCCTTGGTCGCTTCCTTGGAATTATGATGATCTTTTGACAACGTCAAACAACATGAGTGAGTGAGTGAATGTTGCTTTAAGCCGCATCAGCAATTTTGCATCTATGCACGGCTAGAAACACAACATGCACAGAACAATATGATTTTCAGGCACCTAATTACCCAGCTTCATAACAGCAACCTATGCTCGTTGTGTCTGGACCAGACTATCTGGTGATTGACATCTCGAGCATGGATCCATACAGTTGGGATATGTTGACACATAATCAGCAAGTCACCACGCCATGGGTTGGTGTGTACCCATTTTGTATACAGAGCAAAGCTGACTCTCGCTTCAATAAATACCATCGCCCACAGTCGCAAGACCGGGATAAAATTAAACAGACGACGATCACAGTGAAACCAAGCTTTAGTGCGTATCGGAAACTGTACAGGAATATTTTACAAATATTTACATCTTTCTACAAACGTATACATACAAGATAAGCCTACTAAGCATTAACTCCTTGCAAAGAGGTGTATCCCATTGGATACACCAACACAATACATATGTAAAACAATGATGAGTCAGTTGAACACTCTCCGACAGCGTGCTGTACACGCTTACATACATCAAACACAACACCAGCAAATACAACATCGACATATAAAAATAGACATTTTCTGGGGCTACACTGTTGCTATACTGTCCCCTCCTATATAGTCAACCCTGGTTATACCAGACGTAACTATCCAATATAACGTCCCAATAATTGATCAGTTGATGAAACGTTATTATAACATATTTCGTGTACAGTTTAACCTCGTCAAACCGGACGGAACCCTTCACACGAAATTGCCCGGATTGGTAAATGTCTGGATTATCGAGTATGGCTATATGTCTTTTTGATAATATATACAGACATTTCTACAGACATTTGGTCATTTTTGATTAACAAGTCCGCACGGGATTTTCTGCATCCCGAAATATCGTCGAGGTTGCAGAATTCGTTATCAGCAGGGTTGACTATACCCAGGGGCTGCTATGACGTGACGCGATGCCTCTCTCGAAGTGAGACAAGCATCGGTTCAATATTCAAATGATCATTTTAACAAAACGAACCAGAATATGTGATTCCACAATGAAACAACATTTGTTACGGAGCCGCGATCGGCAACGTGGGCATGATTAGAGATTTGTTACGGAATCAGGGTCTGACTACGATGAATGGGATCATGCACGAAAATCTGGAAACAAAAATGAACGAAATGTTGGTAACAATGTAAGTCTCCAATGCGAAACACATTTCGATATACAAGGCTCACACACATGTTTGGGTTTGACTACTCGCATTAGAGTGAGCACGTGATCTCAATCATTGGTGGTTCCACCATCGTGGGTTTCTTGGCAAACCGACCTTGTAGCCTCGACAGCTTTGTGCTGAGAAAATAATCATCATAATTTATTCGCTTCAAACTCGGGACAAAATGCTTTGAATAAAAAT